GCCGGCTGAGCTGATTCATCTACATCTCTGCTTAATTAATTAATTAGCTGCTCAATTAATAAGTGCATACCACCAGCAGAGGTTTTTTCTGCCAGCCAGCATCTCTCCATTAAATCTTTGTATTTATACATTCCCCTAGGTACCTCTGCCCCCCCCAGAAATGTATTGGGGGGCACAGAGGTGCCCAAGGGAATGTATATGGAAATATATTAAAATTTTCAAATATTGATATTTGAAAATTTTAATAGAAGCAATCAATATAATATTGCATCTGGGTAGCTGAGGATGGAGTTTGTGAGGCTCAGGCTGTCCTGGCCCCATCCTGAATTTTGGGGGCCATTCCACATCCTGATGATCTATCGGGGTCCCCAAGTTTGGGGCTGGTACTTTGATTTTTGGGGTGGGGAGGAAATTAAGGGGAATAATAAAAGAATTATGGGAATAATAAGAGAATAAGGGAAAATAGGGCATGACCAGCCAGGATGGAAAATAGAACTTGGAACTCTCACCTTGGGTGTGAACATGTGCATGATCCCATCCACTGCCCCACGCAGCAGCAGCCCCCGCACCAAGAAGCAAACAAGCACCAGGTATGGGAAGAGGGAGCTGAAGTACATCACCTGGAGCAGGAGGGATGAACACACACAGCCTCAATTCCTGCCCCTGGGCCCAGCCACCCTCCCACCCAGCCCAAGAACAGCTCACAGAGGGGAGAAGGGAGCTTTTTCCTCCCCAGGACGGGGCTGGATCCCCAGGGGTGAACTGTGGGACCTCTTGGGGCAAGATGGTGCAGGTGGCTGGGCAGTGGCCAGGGTGAAAGGGACCTGGGGGCACTGATGGACAGCAGCTGGACATGAGCAAGCAGTGCTCTGGTGGCCAAGGAGGCCAATGGCTCCTGTCCTGGCTCAGGAATGGTGNGGGGGTAGGACGGTGGGGATGGATGGAAACGAGAGATCTCTGCAGGCAGGGCTGGGAACTTGTGGGTTATTGCAAAGGGCCTGGGTGCAGGGCCCTGCTGGGAGCTGCCAGCCACAGCTGGAGCAGGACTGAGAGAAGAGAGGGGCAGAGAGGATGGGAGGGTGAGAGAGTAAAAGGGTAAAAGAGTAAAAGAGGGGGTAAGAGTATAAATGGAGAGAAGAGAGTAAAAGGCAAGAGCTAAGAGACAAGAGGTAAGAGTGCAAAGTTCTCATTACAATACCATAAATCTTCTTCTGTGCTGAATATTCTGATTCTCACTAACCAATCCAGTACAAGATACAAATCCTATAGCATTTACATACAGCCTATAAGAATCATTACGTTACCATACTGAGTTACATTTTAAAGTCTAAAACTCCTCTTTGGGCCCTTCTGCCAAGCTGGCAGGGTCTGCTCTGACCCTTGGGCCTGTCTGCAACCAGAGGGTGTTGTTCCATCAAAAGGGGATCACCTTCAGCTGGGCACACCATTGTTTTCCTGTTGTTCAGTAACTGAGGGATCTCAAAGCTTGCTTTCATTTCAATCTGGCTTATAGTTTCCATATTCTCAAAATCTTTTGCCAGGCAATCATATTTATAAGGCTTTCCTGTTTCATCTTCCCCAACACCCAAACCCCTGCACTGCTCAGCTGAGCAAAAAACCCTCCAAATAACCAGGACAGCAGAGAGCTCAGCCTAAGCTGAGGATTTTTCACTGAGTGCACTAATTAATTAATTACAGATTGCTGTGGCATGGGGAAACTGAAGCACAGCTGGGTTAATCCTTGCAGAGAAGGAGGATGCTGGTTCTCCAACCTCTGGCTCTAAATCTGGTTTTAAAATCTCATTTAGTGGGGAAATCTGGTTCTAAATATCATTAAATGGGGAAATCTTGTTCTAAATCTCATTTAATGGGGAAAACTTTCTTGGCAATCAGAGGCCAGCTGTGGGCAGCTGTGTGATGAAGCCAGCAGGGCTGTACTGACCTATCCCAGCTCTGAATTTGGGGTGAACACCCATGAAGAGCTGTGCTGAGACAAAACTGAGCTAAGCTGGAGCTGAAACAGGGCTCTGGGAGGTGCTGGGATGCAGGAGCTGGGCACAGCCAGCTCCATCTCGGATGAGGAGGGAAGGGAATGGGGCTGAGCAGCCCTGGGAGGGAGGGGAGTGCTGACTGCACTCATGAATGACTCATCCTGATGTGACACAGGAGATGCTTGAATTATTGAGGGCAGCTGCAGGGCTGGGGCAATGGTAAAAGATGGAACACTGGGAGCATGGAGAGGACAGGGGCACTGTCCTGGCTCTCTCCAATGGGACTGGGTTTGGATTAATGATGAGGAACCCACCCTCTCATTGGTGTCATGAAGGGTGGTGGGGCTCAGCACAGCTGGGAGAGACCTGACCCTCTGGGCTGCTCTTGGAAACCTGCTGGACAGACCTCAGCGGGTCAGAGAAAGAATGGAATAGATAAGGAAAAATAAACAACCTTGAAAACCAGAGCCGAGGAATCTCAACTTCTTCTGTCATGGGGTTGGGAAAAAGAGTCTAATTCCTCGGGAGCCATTTCAGCAACACCAAACCCAAGACTCATCCCTGCCCCATCTCTCACCTCCTCCATTCTTCTGGCAGAGGTGGGCAGACGTTGTTTGCGCTTCCCCATTATTGTAAATANAGGGAAGGGAAGGGAAGGGAAGGGAAGGGAAGGGAAGGGAAGGGAAGGGAAGGGAAGGGGCAGCCCTGCTCCCCAGCTAACCTAAGCTAATTCCCAGCAGCTGAAGTCATCTGGGATTGCTGGAAACTGCAGGTCCTTCTGCAGAACTCAGGATAAACCAGCAGCACTGTGAGCAGGGCAGTGTGCAGAGGAGCAGAGCAGTCCCAGTGCCCTGGAAAGCCAAGGTGTGCTGGTTAAACTGGGCCAGGAGGGAAAACAACCTCCACAGGCTCCTGAAGCACCCACAGACAGCTCGATCTGAGCAAGGCCCTGGCAGAGGCTGATGCTGGGTGGAGGAAGGAATGAGGGGAGACACAAGGACAACAGGGGAACAGACAGGGAAGGACAGACCTCAACACCCGCGGGACCTTTGCTTTCTGTCTCTGCCACTCCAAACCTCAGAGAGACCCCAAAGCCCACCCAAGAAAGCAAACAGAGGCACAGACGAGACTCGGTGAGGAGACATTTGGTAAGAAGAGACTTTTAATCAGACTCTGATACAGCTCTTACAGGGTTTCTCCCGGCGGCCGAGGAGCCGGGGCAGCGCTGCCCGGCCCCGCCCGGCACAGGGGGAACTACTGCGGTACCGGGGCCAGGGACGCGCCTCAGAGCTCTGTGCTTCACCTGTACACGAGGGTTTCGCTAGGGTTGTGCTTGTCCCACGCATCCCGCGTGTCCCCGGGGCTGTGCCATGTCCACCCCCGGCCACCAAGGCCACCGCGCCCCGCTCCTGCCACGCTCGGGAAGGGGGAGAACCATTGGAAGGCAGTGGGAGCTGCTCCTGGGAGGTGCTGGGGATTAATGTGACCTGTCAGGGGCTGGGCAGGAGCTGAGAGGTGAGGAAGGGGCTGGTTTGGAGGGATTGAGCCATAGGACATCCTGGGGACCAGCTCCACAAGCCCCCTGCCTTGTACTGGGGTCCCTGCAGCAGAGAGCAGTGCTGGGGCACAGAGCATCCCAAATCCTGCCCCACAGGCTGGGGAACAGAACATCCTAAATCCAGCTCCACACTCTGGGGCACAAAGCATCCCAAATCCTGCCCTNGGAGGGGGTTTACATTTTCCATTTCAGTTGAGGCTCCTTCCTTCCTTAGCAGGCACCTGACTTTTCAAACCAAGACACCATGTGCAAGGAGCCACCTCCATGAGCTGACCCTCTGGGGACATAGCCACATTCCTGTCCTGTTGCCCCGGTCCCAGCACATCCCCCTGGACATCCCACATTCCCAGCAGCAGCATCCCCATGCCACATTCCACCCTGCATGGCCAAAGAGTGGAAACAACTCAGATTAAAACTCAGTTAATGTCTGTCTGAGTGAGTGCTGGGGCTGGAGGAGCTGGTGGTTCCCGAAGCAGAAGCGATGACCATAAGGGATGCGATGACTCACGCTGCAGCTCCTGCCTGAGGAACAGCTCCAGCTCCTGCCAGCAGCTCAGGAATGGGCTCAGGAGAATGGGCCTGGCTCCTGCAGGGCAGCAGAAGGTCCAAAGACAACCAAAATTCCCGCCTGGATTGACACTCCAGTGACAGCCACCACTGTCACGGACATCTTTTATGAGAAATCCTTTCCTTAGGATTTTTCCTCCTGAGAAGCTGAGAGGCCTTAGGAACAAAATGTAAACAATGGTTATCTGCTGCTGTGGAATGCAATAGGTGCATCTGTGATTGGCCCATGTTGATTGTTTCTAATTAATGGCCGATCACAGTCAGCTGGCTTGGACAGAGAGTCCGAGCCACAAGACTTTGTTACCATTCTTTCTTTCAATTCTATTCTTAGCCAGCCTTCTGATGAAATCCTTTATTCTATTCTTTTAGTATAGTTTTAATATAATATATATGATAAAATAATAAATCAAGCCTTCTGAAACATGGAGTCAGATCCTCATCTCTTCCCTCGCCCTCAGACTCCTGTGAACACGGTCACACTCCACTCCCCAGGCCAGGCAGGACCTGGGCAGGGGGTGCTGCTCCAAGCAGGGACTCTGAAAAGAGAATCAGCCGCAGCATGGATGGGGATGGTGAGTTAAAAATGGGGGCAGGGAGAGAAATTGAGTGTGGGAATCCATAAAATCAGAGGGTTTTGGGAAAGCTGCAAAAGGCCTCAGGGACAGCAGAACTGTGATTGGAGCTAAGCAGCAGCCATGAGATTGGTCAGCAGAAAAATTATTTCAAAAGGAGAAAAGCAAGGACAAATGGAACAATGGTCTGTGTATTAATGCTTGTCTAGAATAACTCCCTAAACTACAGAAAAGTTTATCTAGCAAGATATTAGGAAGTTCTAAGCTTAATAATGGAGTAATGGAGCTTTGTGCATTGTTTTTAAGGGTTACAAGCAGGTGTTGTATTTGAAATAAGCAAGCATTGTTTTAACCAAAGGTACCTGTGCTTATAGTGGTGGACAGAACTACTGTCAATATAGAATATATATTATACAGATATAAATACTCTCAATGTGCTTTTGCTTTGTATGATTGGTCAAAAAACTTTTAAAGTGAGTTGTAGCATTGAGTTGTTCATCTGCTGCCTGGGATGTGAGCTGATGGCATCTTCCCATTGTCATAACCATGTAATGAGACTGATGCTGGAAAATAAAATCGCTCAAGGCACATTCCTAGCAATGCCATTCCATTTGTGATTTGCACATAGACCCCAGCTGGCAATATTGAGGTGCAGCAGCCCAGGGTGAGGGTAGAAGGAGGGTAAAAGGAGAGGCAGAGAGCAGAGCTGGAGCTCAGGGAAATTCAGGAAGGACCACGAGCATCCCATCTGTGCAACACTCTCCTGGCTATCTCACCCTACAGACAGGTGGATGTGAGACAGATTCAGATGCAAATTTGGAGATTTCCTTGCCGTGGTGCCTGCAAAGGTGAGCATCTCATGCCTGTGCAGCACCAGGGCAGAGCTGGCAGCCCCTGCTGGCTCCCGGCACGCCGAGTGCTGGGGATTTGGCTGCAGCCCATCCTGGCAGCAGCACAGAGCTGTTCTCCCCCGCACACACCTGCTGGGAGAACAGCAGGGAAAGCAGCCACAGGCATCGCATCCTGGAGCTGCTCAGAGCGCCAGGAAAGCTCTGTCTGTCTGTCCATCCCTCCCAAATGTCAGAGCGTCGGGGGTAGGACGGTGGGGATGGATGGAAACGAGAGATCTCTGCAGNACAGAACATCCTAAATCCAGCTCCACACTCTGGGGCACAAAGCATCCCAAATCCTGCCCTACAGGCTGGGGAGCAGAGCATCCCAAATCCAGCCCCACAAGCTGGACCTGCAACTCCAGCAGCACAATGGACAGCAGCACATCGTTTTTCCACCCCCCAAGGGCCAGAATTGCATTTTTCAGTTTGTTTTTCCAGTTTCCAGTTTGTTTCCAGGCTGTGCCCCTCCAGCAACCTCCTTTGTGCCTTCTCCAGAACCCCCAGAGATGAAACAGGATTTGGGCCCCTCCTACCCTACCCTGCCCAGCAGCAGGGACCCCAGCCTGCTCTGAGCAGCAGGATCTGGGCTGGGAACCCACCCAGGAGCTGATGTGGGGGGACAGGGACACGGGCAGCAGTTCCCCCCTCTTTGTCCCACTGCCTGAAGGAAAACAGAAAAGTGCCTGTGCTCACAACTAGCAGCTATTCCCTGTGCCTCTGTGCAGAAAAAGAGGAAAAGTGATTTCTAGGGCTAAAAGCCACCGGGGGTCGGCCCAATCCACAGCCTGGCACCCCGAGGAGGTTGTGTGGAGGGAGAACCTGCCCTGGCAAGCAGGAGAAACCCCCAAAAGTGAGCGAGTCCAGGCCAGAAGTGAATCCTAAAGGCAGCCACGCACACGGACACGCACACCCCACGGACGAACACGCACACCCAACACGGAGCTCCTAAAACCTAACACACACACGCACACACACACCCCAAAACCCCGTGTCTAACACCGAGCAAATGCCACGACAAAACACGAGTATTTCCACAGGTAAAAGTAAAGGGGGCGTCCCTCCTCCTCCTCCTCCTCTCTGCTGGATGCCCAGGGTGCCCCAGGCTGGGGGGAGAAGGGGACGTGCACCCGGCACACACAAGAAATCAAAAGGTAAAAATATGCCCTGCTCTAGAATGAGATTTGATCTGTACAGCACTGGGAATGAAAATAGGTCATGGGCCACTTTGGAATACGATTTTGTCATTTAACAGCATTTACAGTGACATTTACAGAATAAATATACAATAGAAATAGAGAATCTCTAGGTTATTATTCCATCTCCTCTCTCTGTATATATTTTATATATATATATAATATAGCTTCTTTGTTACCTTCTTATTGACTCTGCCTCTTATTGATGCTGCAAGGAAGGGAGGAAAGCGAGCTCCTCCCTGGCTGGTTTGGGAACAGGGGTGGGAGAGAGGGAGGGCTGGATCCTTCCCCCCGGGGTTCAAGGAGCATCCTGCCATGGGAGCACATGGGGCTGAGTGTTCTGGAGCACATGGGGCTGAGTGTTGTGGCTATGGAGGTGTCCTGCTCCATTAACTCCATGGGAGCTACGGTGGGAATCCAGCCCCCGGGCTCAGGGGTGATGGGGAGGTGATGCTGGGCAAGGATTTGACTCATCCTCTGTTCTGCTGGTCAGTGAGGATGGATTCCATAAGAAATGTTGCCTAATGATGGGGGAAAGCCACCAGATTTGGGGTTCTCCCTTCCAGAGATGATGCCATGGGGACATTTCTGTGTCCCTCCTGCATGGGCAGAGGAAGGAGAAAGAGATGGGAGGGGATGAGGAAGGGGGAATTTCTGGAGGAGCGTGGCTGATCCTGACTTACAGATCTTGGAACCACCACTGAACTGCTTTGGTTCATTCCACTTCTCCATCTTCCCCCAGAAAAACAGTTAATGAAGGGCTTGAGCTAATTGTCCTGGAAGAGTCACCAGCCAAGCCCACGGAGAAGGCTGTGAATGAAGGATCATACCCACAAGAGATGTCACTGTAGGATCCTGCTGGCTCCAGGGACGCTGAAATTATGTCAGGGGTGTGGTGAATGGACCAGCAGCTTCCTGCCTTCACCTCCAGCCAAAAGGAGAACCAAGGTGAAAGAAAAGCAATGGACAGGAAAGCAGAGGAGAGAAGGGCTCATGAACCAGCACCCACAAACGTGGCCTTCAGAGCAGCCTCAAAGATCTTCATGCACAACCTAAGCCCAGCAGGATCAGGTGAGGCACTCCCCAGCCTTTGGAGGCAGCAGAGGGCAGAGTGTGCTGCTTCTGTGTCCCCAAGGAAAAAGGGGACAATGCCAGGCTATCCTGACAGCCTTGGCAGAAGTGCTTGGTTACAGGTGGGATTAAGGGAAATGACCCTCAATCCCAGCAGAACTCAGAGATAAAAGATCTCACTTTTTCCTAAACAGCCTGGGGAGAAACAACATAAGGTCACATCATGGATCACATCCAAAACCATGGATGGGCACGATAGAGGCCCCTGGACTTCACAAGGGCTCCCCAGGCTGGATCCAGAGCTGCTGGGGACCTGGCACTGGCTCCCAGGAGTGGCCCATGGACACCTGTGGTCCCCAAGAGCTGGTCACCCCCATCCAAAGGCTGCTGAGCTCCTGTGGGTGTGACAGGAGGCAATGCCAAACCCCAGGGGACACGAGGAGAAATGAGGAGGCACGTCCAGAGAGAGGCAGTGCCCAGCTCACCTCGGCACGGGGCAAGGAGGGAAATCAGGGGTGGTTTCCTGAGAGCTAAACCAGGAGTGTGGTAGGACTGGATGTCCCACAGCTCCTCTGCTTGTCCCTCTAAAGGGACACCTAAAGAGAGGAGTGAGAGGAGATGGTTACCATGCCAGGGATTTTGGTTCAGCAGAGCATCCCACATGTCAGGAGTAATTCCAGGAGAGCTCTCCTGACCTCATCACACCAACCCCACCCAGACCCCACACAGGCTCACACCCCCAAACCACTGCCACTTCTGGGGTCCTCCTGACACTCAGCACCATCCAACCCATGGAGCATCCCAGCTACTCCATCCCATGGCTGTGACATCTCCAAAGAGCTCCCAGCCACCGTCCCTGTGCTGGTGGCAACAAAAATTCCAGGGATTCACCCTGCCCTGCCTCACACGCCCCAACATCACAGCCAGCCCCACGCTGCTCCCTGCCAACCCTGGTCAGAATTTGAGGGGGTTATTTGGGTGTGTCCACAGCTATAAAAACCTACAGGAGATACAACAACAACAACGATGGTGACAACAACAGCACCTTCTTGTGCTATGAACATCGATGATTAATTGTGCTCGTTGGAATAAGGCCATGACTCCTCCCGGCTAAAGGACAACAGACGGGGAGGGAAGAGCTCTGGGTGACAGGGGGAAGTGTGATTGGCTTCCCACCTGCTGCCAGGTCCTTGTTCCAACCATCAGCTGCTTAAAAAAGAGAGATTCTTTGCTTCGGATTTGAGCTGCACGAGAACAACTCTTGGAAAGGTATTGCAGCATCTCTTGCTCCTCTTCCCTTCCCTGGAGGTGAGTCCAGGGCTCCTGCCTTTCCACCGAGGGCTGTCAGAGGAGTCCTGCCCCTCCTGCCATCCCTTCTTCCCCGACGTCACCTCAGAAATGGCTGCTTTGCTTAACGATTTTAACAGGGGGGTTTCTTCTTCGTCTTAGTCACTAATTCTTCTTCACCCTTAATAATTAATTTTCCCGTTGCCTGGACAGCCAGGAGCGCCCTCCTCTCCTGGTGGGGGTGGCGGGCAGGCCGCCATCACAGCTCAGACTCGGNGTGGGGTTGGGAAAAAGATGCTTTAATACCTCAGGAGCCATTTCAGCAACACAAAACCCGAGGCCATCCCTGCCCCATTTCAAACCCCAAGCCCATCCCTGCCCATGTCTCACCTCCTCCATTCTTCTGGCAGAGGTAGGGGAAGCGCCAGACGTTGCCCAGCCCCACGGAGTAGCCGATCTGCGCCAGGATGTATTGCAGCTTGCTGTTCCACGCCGGCCGGTTCTCCGCCTCCAGGTCCTCGTCCCCCTCCTTCTGCTTGTCCCACGCGTCCCCTGTCACGTTGAGGACGCTGCGTTTGTAGTCCACGGGCTCCTGGTGGGCCAGCAGGTCGGCCACCGACTCGGTGACATGCTCGCTGCTGTGCTCCCGCTGCGTCACCTTGCTGTTCTTCGGCATCGGGGCGGCCCCGCGGCGGGATCGGGCACGGAGGAGGAGGAGGAGGAGGAGGAGGAGGAAGGTCCCGCAGGGAGCAGCACAGAGTGGGAGCTACAGCTCGGGGCTCACCTCCTCTTCATCAGCAGGACCTGTGTGGGGAAGGGATCAGTCAGGGTCAGTTGGGTTTGGCTTATCTGCAGTGGGATGGTGGGACCGGCAGCACCAGGAGAGAAGGATGTCCATCCCTGCAGGACCCAGAGAGAAAGGTGTCCATCCCTGTGATTGGGACCTGGAGAACCAGGACAGAAAGGTGTCCATCCCCCAGTAATTTGGGACCTGCAGCACCAGTAGAGAAGGGTGTCCACCCCTGTGGGCTGGTGGGACCTGCAGCACCTAAAGAGAAGGGTGCCCATCCCTGCAGCACCAGGAGAGAAGGGTGTCCACCACTGTGATTTGGGACCTGCAGCACCAGGAGAGACGAGTATCCATCCCTGCAAAACCAGGAGAGAAGGGTGTCCATCCCTGCAGCACCAGGAGACAAGGGTGTCCACCCCTCGTGTCTTGGGACATTCACCTGAACCTGGAGGGTCTCCTGCCCCAGGAAAGATGGACCAGGAGCAATGTTCTGGTTGAGAATTAGAGAGTGCCAGGATGGTTTAGGTGGGAAGGGACCTTAAAACTCATCCAAGCCCACCCCTGCCATGGGCAGGGACATCATCCATAGACCAGGAACATCTTCCATAGGCCAGGGACACCTTCCACTGCCCCAGGCTGCTCCAAGCCCTGTCCAGCCTGGCCTTGGACACTTGCAGGGATCCAGGGGCAGCCACAGCTGCTCTCATCCATGGAGAAAAGCCTCCTGTGTCCCAGAGAGAGGAGTTTCCCTGTGCTCCAGGGCACAGTGACAGGTGATGACAGGTCACATCCCTGTGACATCTCTTCTCTCCTCTAACACCTCCAGCCCAGCAGCTGAACCTCCCAAGGCCTGACACCAAACCCAGGCTCTGCCCTGCCTGTCCTGCTCCTTCCCCTCCTGACCATCAGCACAGCTCCAGCTTCACTCCATGACAGCTTGGGAGCACTCAGGGCACAGTGACACATGCCCAGGCTGTCTCTGCATCCCAGGAAGTTATCAGGAGTGACTGAAAAGCCTTGGGCCCTGATGCTAAATCTCCCCAGGCAGCTTTACAGCAGATAACAGCTGCAAAAAACAGCAGCAGCCAAGGCAAAGCCATCACCCCTGGCACCTTCACTTCCCCAGCTTTCAGAGTGGGTGAGGAGGAGCAATCCTGCACAGAAGAACCTCAGGAGATGCCCAGAACCCAGCCCAGCCCTGCAGATTTCCGCCCTGCCTCAAAAATCTTGGGTTCATTGTGGAAATCTGCTCCACTGGGCTGGGCATCCCCAAACTGGGAAAGCAGCATGTCCTTCCTCTCCATACTGGGAGCACTGGGGTCAGATGGGGCAGAGACTGGACCCAAACTGGACCATGGTGCAACATCAGCTGGGGAGAAAACACAGAACTGCCACAATAAATGCCCCAGCTTGGAAAAGGGACCCTCCTGAAGAGATGGACTTCCTTCTTTCCTGTCCTCTCCATCTCTGCTCCCAGGGGACACCAGGCTGGTGCCTGGGCCATGGTGGTGCCCTGCTCCCAGACCTGACCCACCCCAGATGGGCAGCAGCACCACCTCCTCCCACCCTGGAGGCTTTTCCAGAGCCATTCCCAGCTCTTCTCTCCTGTTATAAGTAAAAATCTGCCAATGTTTTTTGAGAAAAAAAGGGTTGCAGAGTGAAACCAGTGCTGCCAAGGTGAAGTTCTACCTGTTCATTATTGTAACCACCGGTTGTTTCGTTAATTGCTCCTTTTCTATCAGTATGGCCCTGCCCGGGGCTAAGTTGATGGTTCTTCTCCCAGATGGGTGAGAGGCGGGGATATCAGAGAGAATGCAAAATAACCTCGGGACCAGCATGCCTTGAGAAGCTACCCCACCAAACTTACTGAAAAACCCCCAAAACAATGAGCCAACACAGAATTAAGAGATAAGAGTGATGTCTGGACATAAGGAACAGAGTGCTGAGCCTGCAGAGATGCTGAGAACATTTGCTGCCCCTTGCCCTGAGCAAGACCCCAGATGGAGCCAAGACCTCGAGACTGGAAAACCCAAAAGTCATAACACGGGGTATACCCCCACTGTTTTCATGAAGATGGGACCCCCAGCTCTGCCCTTTAGTGAATAAAGCTGCACATTCCTCCTCCTCTGAGTCACCCTGGGAGCAGCAGCGGAGAAACCGTGGACTCATCGAGCTTCCCAACCTTGGGCTGATCACTTTTAACAAAGGCATTAAAAGGAGGAAAAGCCTCCTGCCCTGTTTATTTCATTTCCTCTTGGACATTTTTGATCCAGCTCAGCCCACAATCCCATCCCTATTCAGGGCAGTGGGTTCAGCCCAGGCAGCAAAGCCCATCAGCCAAGCACCAGGAGCAGGAAACCTCCCCCTCAGCCACCCTCACCTCGGCGTTTTCTCACCCCTGTCGGAAGTTCCCCCTTTGCCAGGCCCTGTTCCTGTATGAAAAAAAAAATAAAATCTATTTTCAACTGTCGGCTGCATCCGTTGCCAAGCAACCATCTCGGCTCCACATCTTTCCCGGATCCGGCTCCTCCGGAGAAGCCGCTTGAGTTATTTTGTCGAGGCCAGGCCAGCGATGTTTAATTTCCTAACGAGGGCTCATTCACAGCAGCCGCTCGCTGCTCGATCGTGGCAATTACCGGCACGTGGCTGCCCGGGGCTGGAGCATCCTCAGCCGGCTNCTGCTGCCAACAGCCTGACCCACAGGGTGTCAGGCTGGGTTCTGACTCTGGCAGTGTTGTTTGTCCTGGAGAAGAGGAGGCTCAGGGGTGACCCCATCACTCTCTACAGCTCCCTGACAGGAGAATGCAGCCAAGGGGGTCAGGCTCTGCTCCCAGGACAAGACAAGAGGACACAGCCTCAAGCTGCACCAAGGGAGCTTTAGGTGGGCATTAGGAAGCAGATCTTCACAGAACAAGTGAATGGGCATCACAAGGGGCTGGCCAGGGAGCTGCTGGAGTCACCATCCCAGGAGGTGTTTAATGAAAGGCTGGATGTGGCTCTCAGTGCCATGGTCTGGCTAACAGGGTGGTGTTGGGTCACAGGTTGGACTTGATGACCTCAAAGTCCTTTTCCAACCAAAGTGATTCTGTGAAGTGCTGGAGCTCAGGGGGATTCTCTGTGCTGGTGACCAAGGCCTGGCTGCACGTGTCAATTGGATTAAACCTCTTCCCTAAACCCTCTTCTGATCTTATTCTGGATCCCTCCAGAGGTGACCCCAGCGATGGGGTGAGTGTGACCATCCCAGTGTGGGACACAGCATTCCTCTGGAAATGGGACACAGGACAGCGTGTCCACCAGGTTCCTGCTCCCAAGAAAAAGCCCAGCCAGGCTCACTTGGCCACCAACACCCACCTTCCCTGAGGACTGGATTCCTTTGATCATGGCCAAGCCAACCAGGCTCCAGGCCACCAGCAGACACAGGGTCATCTTCCAGTTGAGCCCCCCGCTCTCAGAGATGGAGTTGGAGATGTCCAGGGTCTCCCGGTACCAGAAGTAGGTGGTGGCTGAGCTCCTCTCACATTCTGGCTCCACAACTGCAGGAGAGAGGCAGGAGAGCATGAGGGGAGAGGCATCCACTGTCTCCTGGGCTGATCAAATGTCAGAGACCTGTCACAGACATCTTTTATGAAAAATCCTTTCTTTAGGATTTTTCATCCTGAGAAGCTGTGAGGCCTCAGGAACAAAATGTAAACAATGATTATCTGCTGCTGTGGAATGCAACAGGTGCATCTTTGATTGGCCCATGTTGAGTGTTTCTAATTAATGGCCAATCACAGCCCAGCTGGCTCAGACAGAGAGTCTGAGCCACAAACCTTTGTTATCATTCTTCTTTGCTATCCTATTCTTAGCTAGCCTTCTGATGAAATCCTTTCTTCTATTCTTTTAGTATAGTTTTAGTGTAATATATATCATAAAATAATAAATCAAGCCTTCTGAAACATGGAGTCAGATCCTCATCTCTTCCCTCATCCTCACACCCTGTGAACACAGTCACAGAGACCTGCTGGAGGCAGCCAGGGAAGGGAGACACCCCTGAAAACTGAGGGGCAGAAATTTATGGGGCTCATTCTTAGCAGGGAAAGGAAGAAACAGGACATAAAACTACTGCCAGGTGAAAATGAGATGTTAAATACGGGGAGAGACATTTTCATTTGCTATAAAACCTCTCAGAGAGTCCCAAGCTGATGCTCAGATGTTATAAAACCTCATTAGCTCCATCCATGTCTCAGGCAGGCAGTGGAGCAGCCCCTGACTGACTCTTACTGCCTCCCTCCACAGTCCTGGGTCAGATCCTGGCCTCAAGCACAGAGGCAGCCTGGAAATCCCTTCAGTGGAGACTCTGGATACCCAAACTGGCATCAGATCCCATCACTGGGGACTCTGGATTCCCCAACTGGCATCAAACCACACCAGGGGGATTCTGAATTCCCAAACTGGCATCAAATCCCATCAGTGGGGACTCTGGATTGCCAAACTTGTATCAAATCCCATTCTGGATTCCCAAACTTGTATCAAATCCCATCACTGGAGACTCTGGAATCCCCAGCTGGCATCAAACCACATCAGGGGGGGATTCTGAATTCCCAAACTGGCATCAAATCCCATCAGTGGGGATGTGGGATTCTGGATTCCCAAAGTGGCACCAAATGCCATCAGTGGTGACTCTGGATTCCCAAACTGGTATCAAAACCCATTCTGAATTGCCAAACTGGCATCAAATCCCATCAGTGGGGACTCTGGATTCCCAAAGCTGCATCAAATCCCATCATTGGAGACTCTGCATTGACAAAGGGGTATCAAATCCCATTAGTGGGGATTCGGGACTCTGGATTCCCCAGCTGGCATCAAATCCCACTAGTGGGGACTCTGGATGGCCAAACTGGCATCAAATCCCATCAGTGGGGACTCTGGATTGCCAGAGTGGCATCAAATCCTATTCTGGATTCTCAAAGTGGTATCAAATCCCATTCTGGATTCCCAAACTGGTATCAAATCCCATCAGCGGGGACTCTGGATTGCCAAACTGGTATCAAATCCTATTCTGGATTCCCAAAGTGGCATCAAATTCCATCAGTGGGGATTCTGGACTGTCAAAGTGGCATTAAATCCCATCAGTGGGGACAGAGAGCACTGGAGACACTCATCCAGCCCAAGGGGAAGCTCTCCACATGGTCAGGGCAGCTGTGGCAGAGAGGAACCTCAGCCTCCTGTGGCCCCACGTTCTGCTGGGCTTGGTGGCATGTCCCCAGTGTCCCAGAGCCCCCCTGTCCTGGTCCCTGCCCCCTCCCAGCCCATTCCCTGTGCCTCACCAGCCACCGAGCCGTTCCTCACGATGGGGCACTCGCTCCAGGGCAGGGGGTACTGGAAGGACTTGAAGAAGTAAAAGATGCTCCAACCAATGATGACGTTGTAATAGAGACCAACAAAAAAACAGACCTGGGGAGGAAGGAGGGAGGAGGACACGGCATCAAACCACAGGGCAGTGAAATGTGCCCAAGGCACCTCTAGGGCTGCTGGGATCAAGGGTGGGAGCATTCCCAAACCAGCCCCTGTCAAAGGCATCTTTTATGAAAAATCCTTTCCTTAGGATTTTTCCTCTTGAGAAGCTGAGAGGCCTCAGGGAAAAAACGTAAACAATGGTTATCTGCTGTGGAATGCAACAGGTGCATCTGTGATTGGTCTCATAGAGTTGTTTCTAATTAATGGCCAATCACAGTCAGCTGGCTTGGGCTCTCTGTCCGAGCCACAAGCCTTTGTTATTATTCCATTCTATTCTTAGCTTAGTGTGTTAGTTAGTATTCTTAGCCTTGTGATGAAACCTTTTCTTCTATTCTTTTGGTATAGTTTTAATATAATATATATAATAAAATAATAAATCAGCCTTCTGAAACATGGAGTCAGATCCTCATCTCTTCCCTCATCCTAAGACTCCTGTGAACACGGTCACAAGCCCCTAGCCATGGGTGGAGCTGCAAAAACACCTCTTGACCCCTGGAACCCCCCCCGCCCGGTGTTACAGGAGCTTCTTTGAGCCAGGTCTCATGAGCTCTTGGAGGTCTATTACTCACCCAAGATAGCTCAGCTACCTTTGGAGGCATAAAATCAGCAGGATGGCTTCTGTTGCAGTGTTGGAAACAAAAAGGTTTAATAAAAGGCAAAATAGCAAACAGAGAAAAACTGAGCTTAGTGCAAGAGGTTCTTGCTCCTGGTAAAACACCTCACAAAAGGCATTTGTTTCTTTGTTCACTTCTTTTTCTAGTAAATTGATTAGGTGAGACTTTTTAGCTCCTGTCCAACTGGCTATCCTTAAGTTTGAGGTGAAGTCCCCCAGATCCTATAAGGTGTCTTTTCACCTAATTGAGGAGCGAAACTTCTGGACTTATTTCCTTTTTAAGGAGACAGAGGAGAGTTTTGTCACTCTGTCAACAGAGAGCACATTCCTACACCCTGGGGCTCCTCGAGGTTTGCCTCACCCNCTCTTTAGGATCCCTAAAGTATCTCTTTAGGATACTTAAAGTATCTCTAGGATCTCTAAAATATCTCTTTAGAACCCCTAAAATATCTCTTTAGGATCCCTGAAGTTTCTCTTCAGGATCCCTGAAGTTTCTCTTCAGGATCTCTAAAGTATCTCTTTAGGACCCCTAAATATCTCTTTAGGATCCCTAAAGTTTCTCTTTGGGATCCTTAAAATATCTCTTTAGGACCCCTAAAATATCTCTTTAGGATCTCTAAAGTTTCTCTTTAGGATTAGGGAGACAGCCAAGAAGATCCAGGGTGTGCTGGCCAAGCTGCCAGAGTGCAATGACCCACAGTGAGGGCACCCAAACAGCTTTTTGGGGACACCCCAAGCCCTGGGAGATGCCAGCTCCAGGGTAGGGGGTGCTGAGCCAGGGGTCAGCACAGGCCCCACAGCATCCCTGTGGATCTCAGCCTGTTCCTCTCCTTGGTTTAGGTCCTCACAAGTTGTTCTCAGGGCTGGGAGGCACCAGGACACAGATCCTGAAAGAGCAGGGTCCTTCCAGCCCCTACAAAGCCTCAGAAGCTCTCAGAGCCTTGGAGGACACTCCAGCCAGCAACATTCCCAAAGGATTTGGAGACTCAGCAGGGCTGCTTTAATGGGATGGGGATGACCCCTCTAAGCATTGGCAGGAGGGTGAAGGACAGGTACAAGTCTTCCTGCCCATGCCCAAGTTGAATTAGAGGGAAAAACCTTATCAGAGATGCAGATCCTGCTCCTGGCAGGGCTCTGGCAGTGCCCCATGGCTGCTTTGGGGAGTTCCTGCTGGGTCCCCATGGCTCAGCCCCAGCCTGAGATCCTGGCAGAGATCCCAGCTGGAGGAGAGAGGATCATTCCTGATTCCATGAGCACACCCAGCCTTCTCCATCCCCATCCCTGCTGGGAATGGGAGATGAGCCCAGGCAGAGCCTGCACGAAGCCACCAGCCCACACAGACAGGAACAGGGCCCAGGGAAAGCCAGGTCAGCAGGGCTCTTCCTCCTCATTTCCCCAGCTTTTTGCACCAGCCCCGAGGGCTGCACCCTCAAACGAAAAAGCACAGCCCAAATCCATCTGAGAAAGGTATTTCTGCACATTCCTTTGGTAGGAAAAGGGAATTTAATCAAAAAATCATCTGCCAAAAATAACAACCACCCTGTGAGAAAGACAAGGCAGATCAGCTGACGAGCAGGAGCTTTCCGGGCTGGAGCGAGATAGAAAACCCTTGTCACTGACAGATGGAGATTCAGCTTGTTTACTTAGTCCCCATGACCTTAATTTTCTTAAATGTGCATTTTTTCTCTCTCTTTAGAAGACAGATTAGGGTCTTTGAGAGCCCATGGTTTGCAAGAACCTCACTTGTGCTGCCAGACCAGGGCTGCCTTTGCACCCACAGCTTTGCCCAGGTAAAACCAGTGCTGGTGGCACCCAGCTGGAGAGGGAACGTGGCTTTTCCCACAGCAGGACCCTGGAAAGGACCAGTTTGTGCTGCAGGCATTACAAGGGGAGGGAATAACTCACCTCATCCTGCTCCATGTCCCTGGCTGTGTCCTTGAATGAGATGTCCACTTCCCTGGTCCCAGTGGAAACCTTCACATTGAACTCCTCAGACAGCAAACACCATTCCCTGAGCCCTGAGCACCATTCCACCATTCCCTGAGCCCTGGGCTGAGTCCAGGGCTCCTGCTGGCACAAAGTGAGAGTCCCCATCCATGCCCAGGTGGCACAGGGTGACCCCAAGCTCCGCATCCCTTTGGACTGGTGTGGGAACCACCACAGCAGCAGATCCAAGGCACGTGGGAATGGTTTGCCATGGGACAAACTGGATTTAACCCACCAGGGGAAGGGCAGGGATGGAGAAGCTCCTGCCTTGTCACACCCAGGGGTTTAATCCTTGCTCAGAGCTTCCCATTGATCCCAAAAGCAACCGTGGAGAAAATCTGATTTTTCGGTGCTATTTGGGGTGAGTGAAGATTCCCCATATCCCCAGCCCTGGCACTGGCATCACGAAGGGTCAGGTGAGGAGGGAACCTCCTAGCTTGTCACACCCAGGGGTTTAATCCTGCTCAGAAGATCTCAACAATCCCCAAAGCAGCCATGGGGAAACGCTGCTATTTGGGGTGCTATTTGGGGTGAGTGAAGACTCCCCACATCCCCAGTATCACTAAGGGTCAGGAGAGAAGGAAAGCTCCTGCCTTGTCACACCCAGGGGTTTAATCCTTGCTCAGAGCTTCCCATTGATCCCAAAAGCAACCGTGGAGAAAATCTGATTTTTGGGTGCTATTTGGGGTGAATGAAAACTCCTCACACCCCCAGCCCTGACAGCAACATCACCAAGGGTCAGGGGAGGAGGGAACCTCCTACCTTGTCACACCCAGGGGTTTAACCCTTGCTCAGAGGCTCCCAACATTCCCAAAAGCAGCCATGGGGAAATGCTGCTTTTTGGGGTGAGTGAAAAGTCCCCAGACCCCCAGCCCTGACAGCAGCTTCACCAAGGGCCAGGGGAGGAGGGAGGCTCCAGGCCACGTGTCCTGGCTCTGCCCATCCTTGCTTTCTTGGGAAGGCAGCTGGGGAGCAGTAACAGGCTGGAAATGTGTCAGCAAAGCTTTCAGCTGGGCCTGGGAGAGCAGGAGAAGGCAGGGAGGAGATGGGGATTTACAGCAGAGCCCAAGGAGAGCAGCAAACGTGATCTGGGTCCAAATGATGGGGTGCAGGGGAATCTCTCTGCCCCTGTGTCCAAATTCTACATTTATCCCTCATTTGGGTCCAGAAAGGAGAAACTGAGGCAGGAAAAGCCACAAGATGAGATTGGGTGAATTAAAAATGAGCATTTCATCCTCTGGGGACTCTGCTGGTCCCTCCCTGCCCAACCATTACCACTTCTCCCCCTTCAGCTTGCACAGAAATCCCCCACAGCTCCTAAAGGAGAGGGCAGAGATGTTCCTGGTGCAGCACCCAGCTCAGCAGGCCTGGGAAGGTGCAGCTCACCCCATCAAGGTCACAGAGCAGGGAAAGGAGGGAGGAGTGGGGACAGAGGAGCCGAGGGATTTCGGGAGGTGGAAATCTACTCTCAGCTCGGGGCTGGGAGAGCTGAGCATCAATTTGCAGCTCCTGACACACACACAGAGCCAGGGAAATGCTGCACCCAGGGCAAGGCTGCTCAGTGAGGAGGGGAGCCTGGCCCAGGGAGGAGAAGGGACAGATCCAAGGTCACCCAGGAGCAGAGGAGGAGGAAGGACCACGGATCCCTCCTGTCCTCCCTCTGTGCTGCACAGCCAAAAGCCAAGGGAAGAAGACCTGGATGCTCATCCCAAGCATGAGAAAATCATCTCCAGGCCCCTTCCTGCTGCTCCCTGAGGTCAGGGGAGCCTCTGTGCTGGAATGGGGATGCCTCTGGCAGAGCTGGTCCTTCGGGAAGCATCCTGCTCCTCCAAGCCACAGGAAACCAAGGGCAGGGCCCTCCCAGCACATCCAAACTTCTCTTCAAAGCCCCAAGGAGAGATTTCTGCCCAAGGCAGAGTTTTTGCAGCTCTGTCCACCCCTGCCCTGCTCTGAGGACTTTCCCACAGCCTCCACCACTCAAACCTCCCTTTTCCACCAGAGAGACTGGTCCAAGACACCTCCATCTTAAATCTGCTCCTCCTTGCCTGGCCTGTGGCTCCTTGGAAGATGGGTTTTACCATCTGGGTTCATTAGGGCTGCTCCCATTGTCCCCTCGTTAAAATGAGCCCTGCTAGTGTGTGGAAGGGACACAGGGTGACACAGTGCCACCAGGAAAGGGCACAGGGTGACACAGTGCCACCAGGGCTGTCCCCTCTTCACATCCACCCCCGGGGAGGCACAAACTGCAGCTGGGGTCGGTGTCAGAAGGTGACAGAGCACGGGAAGCGTCCCAGGGCCGGCTGGGATTGAAGGCAGCCCAGCCTCTCACATTTCCCCC